ATTAACATTTAACTCAATGGCATTCTTCTTTGATTCTGATTTTCAAATCAGGATAGAAGGAACTCAATTTTCGGAATTAATAGACTTCTAGTTTTTGTAACTTGTTTGGCCTGCAAATGTGTGACAGCTTTTCCATAGTTCTTTATTTTGTTCACTTCACGATTACAAATTGTTCTTACAGTAGTTGGACCTAAATCCAGAATTTATCCAATGTTAGCAGCTTTTTCTCTAAGTTTAAAAGGTTTTAAAATATCTAACTTTTGTTTTAAGAAAATTTATTTTCGCTTGTAACCCACTTTTATACTTAATAAAGCAGAAATATACCATTCCACTTCACCACCGTTTAATAAAAAATATTAAAACATTTAAAAAAATGTGACATAAAATGGGAATCCCCTCTGTACGCATGTATTTAAAAACGACACAAATCGAATCCAAAACTCATATTTTTTTGGCAACGCAATTCGAATCAACGCAAATCGGAGCGACAGAAATCGGGGTATTAGTGTAAATTAATCTATATCACCCCAGTGAGTAGTAGATCCACAGTAAAATTAAATTAAGCTATCATTGCTGCATAAGTATAGTCTTCAAATACATACCTTAAGCATATCTATGATGTTGCCACCCAACCAATATTATTTGCATATTATTTTATAAAAGAACACATTTTCACCACCTAGACCTCATTTTAATATCTTTCCAGCTACTTATAAACCTTATTCTTATATTAATTATTGCTCACATTATTTATTATTAAACACATGTCATACGATACGTAATAATTTGGATACATACGATTATTTTATTATTCATAGAACCTATATAGAATATAGATCCTTTAAAGATCTCCTCCTCAAAACTAAATTCTCTAACAATGGCCGACAATAATCGTAAGTTTAGTATAAGGCTAATTTTTTAAAAATATTATTTTACTCATTATATTAATTAATTTATTATATTTAAACAAATTTTAGTGTATTATACTTACACATACCTATTTGATGATTGCCAAAATCTTTATTTTTATGCAAATGTGTCTTTTTTTCTAATTTCGACCGTAACTGACTTTATTACTTCTTTAATCCAAATAATGAGTTTGATCAATATTAAAATCCTATCATTATGTTCCAAATTTTTTAATAAGTATTTAAAAACTAATTAATTAAAACTAATTATAAAAAATGGCATATACAATTTGTGCAATTGATTCTGTAAAAAAATTATGATTCTAATATATGAATGATATGATTAATCCTGATTAAGATGGATTCTAAAATATAATCTTCATTATATTTATTTTTACTTGTGTATAAAAATTTAACAATGTTTCTACGTTCGTTATTTTCCTTTAATATATGTTTATTTTTCACTAAATTCTTCCGTTGCAGACTCTATTATAATTTGATCCAAAAAGTTCTGAAAAGCTTGCGAGTTTAAGTTAGTGAATCGTCTCGTTAAGAGCAGTACAATTCTTAACGGCACTATGACAAGTCAATTTGGTTGACTCGTATACGTCCTGTTTAAATTAATCCTCTGTTTAAATCCAAAAAACAATAATTATGTTCTTTTCGATAGACAGTGTTCTTATTTTGAGGTTTTTCACCTTTTCAATCTCATTTTTAGATTAATTAAATATCAAAAAAATTAATTTTTATGCTAAAATTTTATTAGTATCTGTATCTTCGTCTATCCCTACTCTTTCTCCAGTAATATATTACTTATTATATTATAGTTTAGGCACTGTTTCGTTTGCCCAAGAACTAAACATTGCACAAAAAACCGTTTGGTCTATTTGAATAAGGCTGGATACAAACTGAAGTTTGATGTAGAGGTGTCACACGAGTTACCGCAAAAAAACCTTACGAACCGAATTTGCATCGACTGATTTCTGAAGCGCCTGGTGATGAAAAGTGACGGTAACGTCAAGCGAAAACAGTAGTAGTGGAATTGCGGTTAGCCAGCAGAAACGAATACCAAATCAGGATTGACAGCCAGCAAGGTTTTGCTGTTCTCTACGACAAAACTCTTAACTCGGAACTGTACTGTCCACAGTTGGACCATCTGAAGGAAGCAATCCTCCAGAAATGGCCAGCTTTTGGGAAAAAGAGAGGAATTGTGTTCCATTAGGACAACTCACATCATAGTCTACACCTGAAACCATGTGATAATCGTCTGTTCATGTCCATGACGAATGATTTTTCTGGTGAAAAATTCGTTTAAAGAGAGATTTGTGAAAATTGATTGTCTTAATTTTTTTGCCAATAGTGACGAGGACTTCTATGAGAGAGACTTTGATGGATTTCAAAATGGCAAGAAGTTATCGAATAAAATGACGCTTATTTGACCTAAATCGGATCATTTTATGGTCAATAAGCCGTTAATTTCATGCAAAAATAATGTGTTTTTTTTTACTATGCCTATTATATAATTCTGGAATATATATTCTCCATTTTTGATTTTAATTGATTTTATATTTATCATTATATACGAAAACTGAAGCGACAATTTCTTATAATACTGTAAATACACCTAATATAATATATTCTATGATAAAATAATATGTTGGTGACTAAAAGTTATATACACTATATGTCTACTATATGTACTATATACATAAGTGTACCAATATAACGCCTAGTATATCCTTTATTAACTTTATTGTTAACTATTTATTATTCTATACATTGAAATACTTTTAAGCTAATCGTAGATATCTTAACAAAATTAAATAAATAATAAAACATATTTCATATACTCTACATCAAAAAATTATTTTTTTGTAACAAATTTATATTAAAATTTACATTAAATATTGTTTATTTATTAAATAAACTTTTGGATAAAATAAAATTATGTCGGAGACATCTGTAGCTGCTTTTAAAATAGCTATGCGGAAAGCGAAAAGGAGAGGTCATTCAGTTAAGATAATATATCCGACAGAACTTAAACAAGAGGTAAGAACTGCGGATACTTTTATGATGGTAATGACTTTATTTATCGTAGCGTATCACCGTAAAGATCATAAAAAATAAACTATAATTTTATTATATTTATAGTATTTTTAATCTTATTTTCTAACACAAATAAAATGTATTATATATTATTTATACCAAACATTAGTTTAAGGATAGTGCAACCAAGAAAGAAAGAACACCCAAAAAACAGGTTAGAACGACTTTTTAATTATAACAATAATATTTTTATTAAAAGCACTCCTCTTTTTAAAATAGTTACAAGGTTCTAAGGGTTTTGGAGACAATTGATTTGTTACAAAAGGCATCATATAAAATAACTGTGAGGACTAAACAAACTGGAGTTTCATTTTATGATCTATAAAAATATTTTGTTAGCCATTGGCTAAAATTTATCACTATAATTATTGCTTTATGAAAATCCACTAAAAGGATAGCATCCGTATGGTCACAAACAAGTGTGCCAGTGAAAATGGTTTCATATTAGTTAATAAAGAATCTTCTCAAAAACCTTGAATAATTTTCGAAATGAATTTTAAAATAAATTATGAATGATCAGATAACACATTAGAGTAAACATTATTTCATTAAGTATAGTGATATACATGATACTTTCTGCGGAATTGTCGGAAAAGTAATAAAGGTATGTAACTTTTCATTATAATTTTTAGTAATATTAATAATTCATAGGTAAATAATATTTATATATATAATCGATATAATCTATTTATTTATATTATCTATATAATAAATAATAATTTTATATTGCAGACAATTAACAAAATGAACGATACTTAGCTGATTTTTGAATTATAACAGGGAATCTTTATTTGGAAACCACTATCAATGAAAATGGACTACAAAAAAATTGATAAATTTTAATTATTTAATATGTTATCGGTAAAAATAATTAGAGAGTTAATTTTTTTTTCTAGATAAGAGTATTTATAATATATGTAAAATGATTTAATAAAAATGGAATGAACTTATAAAATAAATATAAATTTTTTTTTGATAAACTCAGTAAAGACTTGAGAGATGGTCTCTCGCACTGGACCCGAGATTGAAAATTATTTTTCCAATAATTCTTTTAGCTTCAAATAATAAATTACCACAAATATTTGCAAATACTTAAACAGAGTATAGTATAAAAAGGATTGATTAATCTTCAGTATTTTTTAAAGGGAAATCATTTAAAAAACCTTACATAAGAATTTTTCAAAGAATATAAGTGAATTCACCCCTTAAAGAGTTTAGAAAGAATATATCACCCTCCTTTAGACTTATATTATCAAGGAATGTTTCTAAAGACTGTAATGACGAGTAATGACGAATATTTGACAATACCCGAAACAGCCGTATAGTTAGTCAAAATATTCAGTAAGTTCACAATAGCAACAACAAAATTTTTATTACCGCTGTTTCGAGTATTGCCAAATGATGGGTATTTGGAATTACCCATGAATAGTCTTGGAATTATTTCTTATATTAAACAATTATTATTAATACCTTGAAATAAAACATATATAATGTATTAATTTAATTATTCTACAGCTGGTTTATGATTTCGTTCTAATATAAAAAAGCAATTGAATTTGCGAACATACAAGCCAAGTACGGCTTTGAGTCAGTTGGCTAATGAAGGCTGACTCTGAGCTTCAAAATTGGGAGGGTACGAGTTCAGCCCTTGGTACTTGCAGCTTAAAAAAAATTGTTTACGAATAATTTAATACAAGAAAAAATTGCAAGACCCCTGATGATGGGTTCAATTAATTGAAAATAATAGAACAAAATTTTAATTGTAGCAATTCCACTACTGTTCGATTAAAATCTCTCTTTCGAAAACAATAGTTTATACTAAGTATTTAATTTCTTTCGTCATAATTGACGTTTAAAATCAATATAATTAATTAAAAATGGAATTTTATGGTTGTAATTCAGTGCTATTCAAAATACAGAAAATTGGTTATTTTATTAAGAATTGATCTATTTTCTAGTTCATTTAAAAGAATCCTTTCTTTGCTTTGAAAACTTTATTCATCCATATGTTTAGTTAGTTATGAATATTATTATTGTTTGTATATTTTTGTGATTTTACAAAAGCAATAAAGCATTGATGTAGTAAACAAGTGCTAAATTAATCAAGTGGTCATTGCAGTCACAGCTGCCTGTTAGACTTTCCGGCTCTGTTAGACAACCGCAGCCATTGTTGTCCGTTTTCCAGGACATCAAAAGCCCAACATTGCGCCAATTTAAAAACTCCTCATAGCCAAAAAGACTGCATACAGTGACTTAAATCAAAGAAAACAATTTCACTATTAAACAATATTCTGCATATGAACCAGCAGTAGGAGTTGCAACTGCATTCAATGTGGCTTACTTTGCTCCAAAAACAAGTCCCTCAACTTTAAAGGAATGCCCAGTTTTTTGATAACATTAAACTCTCGATATGCCTGTGTACACTTTTCACTCGC